TAAGACAAACATTGTCATTATTAGAGATTTCGTCCGTCATAAAACTTGAAAAAGGACGGCGATCAGATTGTCTTTCGAGTATTTGTACAAGTACTGTAAAGACAAAGTTATGAGGCCGACAAGAAAAGTTGAGGAAAAAGAAGAGGCTAAAGTTTACTTTGAAAGAAGATTGGAAGTTGAAGGTAGGTGAAAAGCAAAGTTCTACGTCTATCAGGACGAGTTACAACAGAATATTAAAAAATAATGATCTCCTTGAAAAGATGAGAATTTCTTGAAGTGCAAAGCTATACTGCCCGACAATTAAAAGTGAAGTCTCGATTCTGAGCCCGATATTGCCCTGAGGCACAAGGTGTTCCCCCAGGCCTCTTCGGTACCCTACGCCGATACAGAGTACCAATTTTAAGACATGTGCACTTTAAACGCACTGTGCAACGGGCGATTGAAAAATTTTTGGGCGACAATTAAAAGTGAAGTTTTTACTTTTTGGACTTACCTGACCTTTTAAGGGATCTGTTGGGACGGAAACCGTGCAGAGACATAGTCAAGGTTACAGTGAAGAGCCCTAGACACAATTTACGAAAATTGTCCAAATTTTATGGTACCATTTCCCGGCATCAAGACGCGGGGTTTAGGTGCCACAAAACGGGGCCTTTAGGCACTATTTGTTGTAAGACTGGTAATTTTATGATGCTGAGTGCATCTTGTGGCATTGTTTGTCCAAATAATGCTGCGAGTATGTCAAATTTTGGCCCGCTTCAAAGCGTGCTTATCGACAACGGTACTAGTCAAGGAGAAAATCGATGCAATTTCGAAAGATGAGATGCAGAATCAGCGCGAATTTTGTCTTGTACTTTTCGATCACCCTCTTAGCAGCTAAAAACAGCGTTGTTTACTTGGAAGTGCGTACTTACCCCGTTTTTACCATACACTTAACTTAACTTGGTATATAAGCATTTTTCGCATAACTCGATGCAGCGAAATTGAAATTAATGATGTTGTTTTTGACTAATTTATATCCAGAAAAATCATGTGATGGGGTTTTGGGCCATTAAAACCCAAACCATGGCGTTACACTTCGGTTATGGACGGTAAATTTCAGCAACTTTAGGAAACCGTTGTGATACCCGCTATTTTTGTCTCTAAAAGGAGCGATAACATAAAAAGTAAAGTTTTTAGGAAAGAAGGATATCTATCCACCCCGATCCTACTATCAAACCGAGAGGGGTACTGGTTCCTGCTACGGTATAAGTCAAAATAGGCACCTAGCCGTTATCCATATCAACAAGAACGCTTTGAAGCGCACCAAAACTTGACATACTCGCAGCATTATTTGGACAAACAATGCCACAAGATGCACTCAGCATCATAAAATTACCAGTCTTACAACAAATAGTGCCTAAAGGCCCCGTTTTGTGGCACCTAAACCCCGCGTCTTGATACCGGGAAATGGTCCCATAAAATTTGTACAATTTTTGTAAATTGTGTCTAGGGCTCTTCACTGTAACCTTGACTATGTCTATGCACGGTTTCCGTCCCAACAGATCCCTTAAAAGGTCAGGTAAGTCCAAAAAGTAAAAACTTCACTTTTAATTGTCGCCCAAAAATTTTTCAATCGCCCGTTGCACAGTGCGTTTAAAGTGCACATGTCTTAAAATTGGTACTCTGTATCGGCGTAGGGTACCGAAGAGGCCTGGGGGAACACCTTGTGCCTCCGGGCAATATCGGGCTCAGAATCGAGACTTCACTTTTAATTGTCGGGCAGTATACAATTAAAAAGACATTTTCTGGTATAATTTGCCAAGTTTGCATTAATCCCTGGAAATTTAAGCTTACGTTTTCACGCAGGCGAAACCGAGATATTCAGCGATAATATGTATCATCTGAGAGACTACGGAAGTGTGGAGAGGCGGCCAAAGATTTCGGCTTTTAATGCCAACTTTTTTCTTCTAATAAAAAACTTTTCTAGCTGCGTTTCAAGCATAGGTTCCAGAAAATCTGAGCGTCTTTTTGCATTTAGAATTCAACCCAAGAAGTATGCCTTCAAAGATCTACAATGTTTTTGGTCTTTTTATCTGACCATGTCTCCTCATTTCACAAATTTTCTAGTCAGCAAAGACCGTTGGATACATCGGTCACCTTTAAAGCATCAACCAAAATTTTAATTAATATTTACACTGCCAAATCACAGTAAACAAATTTTTCTCAATTACAGTCTCGAGCAGGATCATGTGATATTGGAAAGGGCATCCAAAATACACCCTTTGAATCCTAGAAAATCGATGTAAGACGACAGAAGAATCTAAAGCTCTTATTTTGAGTAGAAACAAAATTCTGGCTCCTCGAATAAAATAAGTCAACCACAACTAAATCTGATTACTAGTTTCCTAATAACCAGCCAAATAATAACTAACCCCATCCCCAAATCTTGAGTAAATACACCTCAAAAGAGTACTTGCTTTAAGTCATTATACCTCAGCGCTGTTTTCTGATTAATCTCCTCGCAAAAGTCTGATCGCATTCACGTAATAAACGGAACAAACAAAACAAGTGCAATGTCAAGTAAGTGGTGCCAAAAAGTGTGTTCGTGGAAGGTCAAAATGCCGTGGACAAATACTGAACAAACATCATCGGGGGGATCGGTTCGGGCGTTGGCATCGGTTGAGAGGGTTGCGTTTGCATTGTCGCAATTTTTCATGGATTTTCTTGTGAGATTCATGGATTTTTCCGAGGTTGGGGAAGATGCCTTGGAGATAGGTTGGGCATTTTTTTTGAAATTATCAGTCGGGGGGGGGGGGCTAGACATGGCTCGTCGGCCGTCGGCCTGAAGGGTTCCGGCCGGCCCGGCCCGTTTCAAATTTTCCGTCGGGCCGGCCCAGCCCGTTCTAAATTTGCTTCGGCCCGGGCCGGCCCATTGGAACGAAAGTCCCCCCAAGTCTAACTCCTTATGACCAAATTTTTTTCTATCATCATGTAAATGGATAAATACTGTGTTCCATAACTATCTAAAAACAAAAATACGTTTAAAAAAACCAATTGTGTCTTGACTTTTCGTTTATTTTCATTATCAAACCCAATTTTCGCTTCGAGGTTCTGGATTTTAACTATTCCGGGCCGGGCCGGCCCGGCCCGGCCCGGGAGCGATGTCTAGTCGGGACAATAGTGGCGGGTCGCGCACGAAATTTCCAGCTGCGGGTTGCTGTCTTATAGCCTAAAATTTAATTTGTTCTGTTTTAAACTTCGAAAGTTATGACCAAAAACCTTTTTCTCTAACAACCTCTCCCCGCTTCCGATAGTGTCTCGGCTGCTATGGCCGCCGAATATCTCGGTCTTCCTTGAAATTGCCTTTTTTGTAAGCTCTAAACTGATTTTCATGACTATGCAAATTCAAAAAGTTTCGACGAAAATCGGGCAAAACAGGTGGCATCAACAAGGTTGATGATCAACATTAACAAAAATAAATAAAAAATCCAAATTTTTCTAAATACGCAAGTCTGAATTTTTGCTTTTTTGTTAATGACGCAGATCTTCTTTCAATTTTTTCAGCTCTTCTTTGGTTAAAATACGCAAATTCGAAGGTTTATTTCCCGTCGTCGGCGTTTAAAGGAATGAATGACTTATTGGGTAAACATCATTCCAAGTGCGGGTTAGCAACAAATATCAGCGTTAAAAATGGCCGATTTCGGTTTTAAAATACGACGTACTTTTCGTTGACCGGTTTGATGACTTCGGTAAATCAGCGTAGAACAACTGTAGAAGCCGCTGTGGGGATTTTTTTGTGTTTATGAAGGAAATTTTTAGTTTTATAAGGTTTTCTTTGAGTTTATGCAATTTTATGATCGTAAATTTGAAAAACAATGATTTTTCTCGATGTTAGGAGATGTTGAAGCCCTGTAGCCATCCCAACCACTTAGCCCATTCTCTGTTTTGCCCATTAGCACCATCCCATCTTATCCCTTCCCGCATCTCTCTTTTCTCGGATGTTTCATGCAAATCGATCGCTTTGTTTGTTCAATAAGCCCCACAGATCAAAAGGGCGCTGCAAACCTGAGGATGCGGTGTGAGAAGAAGAGGTGAGGCAAGTATGGTCATGTCCGTTCTCTCACCTTTCTTCGCTTGCGGGGGTCTTTGAAAATGGGGTCACTCGCCGCTCTCCCTATCAGGCCAAGATCGGAGCGAAGCGGCTCTGGATGGGGGGCTCGGAAAGCGCCCCTAAAATGGCCCTCTTTCCCGAGGCGTTGGGGCGAATTTAGCGATCGGTCAAAAGCGGGTCTTCCTCAGGTCCACAAAACGGGGAAATCAAAATGAAAATTCCTTTTCCCTTAGAGGCGAAGATGGTCATTTTCCCCTCCTTTTCTGGCTCGATTCCGAAATTTTATCGCTTATTTCTTTCTTTAGCACCCGGCCTCTCCCTCTTACCTATTCCACAACCCCCGAGGGCCGATCGATTAGCGTTTTCTTTTGCCGTGCATAAAAACTTTTCGAGTTTTGTAAACATTTCGGTTGGAATTTGGAAGAATACTTTTGCATACAATAGCTTGGGGTTATAACTTAATGTATTATGAAGATTGGCACAAATTTTGAGGACAGTTTAATAAGGGTTGAACACAGGTATTTAGTTCGCGCATTGCGGAGGCAAGCCACATTTTTTGGTCGGAAATCGGTGGGAACTTATTGTTTTTTTTTTGCAATTTTGAGGTCATGTTTTATCGAATGCAGCGACTACATCATTTCTGCCAAAAAAGCGATTTTTTTGTGGTAAATTTGAATGGCTATGGCTAAAAACTTTCGTATTCCCTTGAGCTGCAAAGATCGTTGAGTATCATGCAATTATTTGCCCCTTTGATGCCGGAGATGTAATTTAAATTTCTCTATATTAATAAGCCACCTCGATGGTAAATATATCCAAAATATTGTGTAACAAAGCTATACATGCGCTATGTTTCTATTTATTCGATTTTTAAATTTGGACATATTCTAATTTTGACCCATTGATTTTCTAGATGCTCAAACTCCTTGGGATTTTACTGAGCATCACCTGTATTCTCACCAGTAATGCCCAACAGTATGGTCCAATTCTGCCTCCACAGCCCCCGCCAAATTCTCCATTATTACCGCCAAATGGCCAAGTAAATAACCAGAGGCAAAATGGCAATTTCGGGAATGTACAGAATGGACAATTTGGACGGAACCAAAATAATGTCCAGAGGCCACTATTCGGCCAGAATCCGAATGTTCAGGCGCAGAATCAGAGGATAATCAACCCACAACAGTTGAATCAAGTGAATCCAGGCCAAGGAAATGCATTTGGCTCTGCGAATCAGCAAAGTGGCGGGGTGTTTGGACAACAGTAAGTGCATATTTTGCAAGCCGTACTGTTTCAGTATTTTGGAGCTAAGTTGTTTTTTGGTTGGAGTTTTGGAATTTTTAGATTTTTTTGAAAAAAAAATCCGGAATATTCGAAGAAAAACATTGTTTTCTAACAAAGCTAATTCAAAAAAATCGACTGGAATTCGAAAAATTCACATGAGTTTTAACTATTTTTTCATTAATATTTTTCATTATAAAATTACCAGTCGATTTTTCAAAACATCCCAAAAACTTAATTTTTCAAAATTAAAAAATATATTTTTTCAAATTTTCCCTTCAAAATCGCTTCTACCTTTTAGACAGCCCACAGCACAACGAGGCCTTCCTCAAAGTCAATTGGGCCTTCAAAGCCAACAAGGCCAACTTGGCCAAGCTGGTCAACAAGGCCAACTCGGCCTTCAAGGCCAGCGTCAGTCTCAGCCGCTACTCCGTCCCGGAGTAATGTATGACAGAGTCTCAAACAGTGGCCAATCTCAATTTGGAGGAAGCATAGTGTCCGCCAGTAACTCACCTGGAATCTTTATTAATCCTACTCGTCAGGTGGGTAGCGTTGCTTTGAAAAGGGATTTTGGAAGTTTCTTTGTCTTTTTTGGGTAGTTGTTCATTAATATCAGGCCTTTACTTTTGTCGTATTTTAAACGCCATTTTTTTAGTTTTTGAATAAGATCGACAAATTTTTCCAAACTTTGATGTGTCTCTTTGACAACTAGATGATGACTTATACTGGTATTTTTTCAATTTTTGCATGATCTATCCCGATATAGAAGGCAATTTCAGAGAATTTCAGATGATAGTGTTAATAGTTAGTAAAACTATGGGGCTGTTCTTGCAGTATAAAGGCGGTCATATAAGATCTCGGAATTTTTTTCCCAAATCGCGATTTTCGGTGCACAAAAAAGTCGACGCCCAAGTCGGAAAATTGGCGTCGACTTATTTTTTTCTCGGCACCGAATTCTGAAATTCGGTAAATTTTTCTAAGTTTTTCGAAATCAGTGCACAAAGTCTTAAGTCTGCACCGAAGACTTAAGTGCTTAAGTCAGCACCGCATTTCGGAATTCGGTGCTGAAAAAATTAAGTTGACGCCAATTTTTCGATTTGGGCGTCGACTTTTTTGTGCACCGAAAATCGCGATTTGGGGAAAAAAAATTCCGAGATCTTATATGACCTCCTTTATGTATACCATATTCCCAAGAAATCACAAGTAATTATCATTTCGAGCGTTTACCGCTCTAAAAAGTTTCGACTCCTACGGAATTTATGCCAGTCCTTATATGTAGTAAAACTCTTGTTTTCTCTTTCTTATCACGCAACAATTTCCTCATAAACCCATCTTCCAAAAAGTTGTTGACTTCTCTTCATTTCTAACACATGAGTCTTCCTTATCACTCCTTCGTTGCCCTCTTCAATAATTCGATAATTATATTCGTCTTTCCTCTTCCACGCTCTCCGGAAAAAACGAAAGAATGTTGATTCATCGGAGCCGGTCGATTTTACTGCCCAAACAAGCGACTCATCGTTTTTAGGGGAGCCGATTGAGTGCGGGCGCAGTGCTCAACCTTCAACTCACTGGATACATCAACGAAAACAAAGCCATGAGAGATGGGAAAACGTGTTATTGCCCGCGGGAGGAGTGCACGTTGTTGGAGAATGTGCTGCATCCCTGTTACTTTACATTCACAATCATCATCTCACCGAATGGGTAGGATCACAAACGAAAACAGCTAAATAATTCAAAAAAGTCATTATAAAATACGTTGATACCGCCTAGTTTTTTAACGCTCACAAAAAATTTTCGAGCCATCAGGTCTTTGAAATGGGGCAAAAGGAATTAGACTGAGTCGGTTAAAATTTAGAACATTACATATTTCCTAAAATACGTTTATGATTTTTAGCTTACCCTTTTCTAGAAACCACAGAGGTTTTCATATTTGAATCATCCAAAAAATCAGAGTTTTCCGTTCAGCACAAAAAAAATTTTTCGAAAGGCGAATTTTCTCTGACAATGAGCCTACTCATTTTCCATGCTCTCTTGAAAAGAGACTGATTTTAAAAGCAAAATAGTCAAAATCAGAAAAAAACTAATATGATTTTTGGAATCTACGCCATCGATTACCCCTAAATCGACTATTGTTAGAAAAAATTCGAAAAATTACTTTTTAACACTACTAGTTAAGCAAAATAGTCAAAATCAGAAAAAACTAATATGATTTTTGGAATCTACGCCATCGATTACCCTTGGGGGCCTCTTTCAACTCGGAGGTCTCTTTCGACTCGGGGTCTGTTTCGATGGCTTTCAAAATTTATCGTTTCTCTCTAACGAAGGGGGAAAGAGGCGTCACCCGCGTGGTGCAGTGGTTGTGCGTCTGACCGGTAGGCGTCGTCTCGAAGTGGCGATGACACCTACATCTCCAGTTCGAGATGACGCCTACTGGTCAGACGCACAAGTCAGTACACTGCGTGGGGTTCGATATCGACAAAAACCTTTCATGGTTCTGTGGCTTCTCTGGGCTAGCCAGAAGTTCCAGTTTTGTCTTGGAAATTTTCCCAAAAGAATGAGGAAAAAACCACCCTTTTGTCCCTATTTAATGCATGAATCTCCCTTCTTTTGGCTGGATTGGACGCTGGACTCCGATGGGGACCATGTGCGACCTAAAAACATGAAAAATAAAGAAAATAGTAGAAAACCCAAAAGATATCGAAAATCGATGACAAAAACTTGGCGTCGCGACACTTGCGGGCAACCGACATTTTTTGATTAGAATTACGATTTCCCTCCCGTAATCTACGTAGTACGATAAAAATTTCACATTATCAACTCCCTGGTACTGATAAGTACACAAATCTATTAAACTCATCCACTGCATTCAAAGTTATAGGAGTTTGTTTTCCAAAAATGGTAAAAAATGCCTGGATAAGCTTATGGTAACTATTCAAGCCACTTATACATCTGGAATCTTAATCCGCTGGGAGTTAAAACTTTTGAAAATTGGCATTTTTCTTCTTCAGAATCCTCATGCAAAATTCAAGGAAATCCGAGTTTGGGAGCATTAAGGTTGTTCGCTTTAGGCAGATTCCATTAAGAAGGCGTTCCTATAAAAAATTGTAAAATACACATTGATTTTCAAAACAAAGATTTGATAAACAGTTTCTTCAATCTTCAGAGATGAGCCTGTCCAATACATCTCCAAGCAGTTTGTCATTGTCAACAGCACTGGAATGCCTGAGCAGAGCGGCGATTGGATGTCTCCGGTCTCAGTTCAAACTGCCTTCAAACCGGTAATTCCAATCCTTATGCAATAACCGTATTTTAAAACCAATTCAGGCTGTCATCGACGTCTTTGTCAACAACCTTGGCCCGGTTATTCAAGGACGAACAGTCGTGGCGTTGAATGAATTTTGGCTGGTCGATAGTTTCACCGTGGAATTGGATGATTATAAACCAACCATCGCGAATCAACAGCCGACTCCGGTGGTGAAACGGTTGACTGGCAGTGTTGTCAGATCTCAGTAAGTCTTGAAATCGGTGAATAACGGGGAAAATTTTATTATTTTCCATTTTTTTGTGTGTGCAGTATGCAATTTTTGAAAACCTCTTTGAAAAACAAAAATGTTGCGGCTGAAAGTCTTTTACGCAATCTCTGACCTATTAATTTTCTGGATACCAAAAAGCGCACTCGATTAGGGGACACGTCGTATTTTACACTGTTATAATATTTCTACGTACAATGGTATGTATTGACGTCTGAGAAACGGTTTTTTAAATTCAGATGCCTTGATCTCGACGATGAATTCATCCCCTGTGTCATCAGTTTTTTCTCTAAATTGCTTGTTGTTAGCTACCTAGATAGCCAACTGGTCAAAAACGTGATTTATTTTGCTCTGTTTGCCTAACAAAGTGGTTATAGTCTTCAAAAAGTTTTTTGAAGTTACCAAAGCTCATAACTTTAAAAACTACTCTGATTTTGCACTATACATCCATATTTCCTGTTTTTTTTCTAAAACATCCCTCAATATCCCTGATTTTCAGGCTTGAATTCCACTACTCAGTCCAGTGTCAAGCTGGTTACGTCGGAGACAACTGTGATCTTCAGTGTCGTCCCACAAATACCGGGCCAGCCCGAGCTATCTGCACCTCTCGTCTCACCAATATTTCTTCGGTTTGTACCTACGACCAATCTCGCACAGCGGTCGAGAACTGCACGCAATGTGGTCTGGGACTTATGAACGATGACTGCGCGGATTTGGCGGGTATTACGCAACGAGAACGAGGGGTCAGTCAGGCCTACAAAGTCTGGACCATCATTTTGGGGGTGCTCTGCGGACTTCTCTTTATTTGTCTGCTAATCCTGTTGCTGCTATATGTTTGCGCCTTGAGAAGACGAAAGAATGGCGATACAAGGGAGAGACAGCGGATTTATCAGCAACAGCAACGACCAGCTCGACCAATTGTTTCGAACCCACTGCTGCAAGATGAGTGGAATAAACCGCGAGAACCATATGCCCTGAGGCAAGCTGCGCCGTTGGTGGATAGCGAAAGCATTCAAAGTGATGTAAGTTTGTTTTTGGTTATTTTTTGTCTTGATAAGTGGCAGTTTTCGGCAATTATAGGGTAGTTTTGTCAGCTGATGCCTAGTGTAATATAATTTTGATTCGAAACCGTCTTCTAGAACCCAGTTATGGAATGTTTAGTATTTAAAAAAAACTTCCTATCTAATTATAGGCCTTTCTAATTCAAAACATACTAATTTGTACAGTAATTTTCCCTATCGTATATCTGATATCAAGTACAATATAATTTGACCAAAATTTTTTCCTAACAGCTAAAATTTGTTTTTAAAATATGTAGTAATCTGTAAAAATATTTTCATCATGATGGATTTTCATTGCCTTTTATTCTTTCTTTTATTTTTCAATTTTCCCTATTACTTGCCAAGTGTAATATAATATATTTTTCAAATTTACCTAATTCTAGCGCATTTTTCAGACTGCCCGTCAAGGCGGCGTGAGCTACAACCCTGCCCCGAGAAGAGAAGCCCAAGTATAGAACACAGTCATCACATCGTCTAATCATTTCTTGCCTTTTAACCTGGTAATACCTCCGTTCAACTGCCGTTTTTTCTTCACCTGTTATTAGATATAAAACTAATGTTTAGAGGACCTAAATAAACCTAAACCATATCTGAGTCAAATTGAGATGATAAATTGAAATTTTTGGGCACCAAATTTATAAAAATGCAAATCCGAACTCTTCAAAAAATTTTTTTATTCTGTTCAGAAATTCTAATTTTATTTCATATAATGAAAAAAATTTACCACCGAATTTATCGAATATACGTTTACTCATAATCAATGCATCAGACTTTGAACTTTTTATATTTTTTTTTCTCAAAAAATAAAAAAATTTTTCTAAAATCCCAAAAATTTTTTAGTCATCAAAATTCAAACTCCGACGCAAAAATGGTATTCATACAACACTGAGCACTTATTTGATTATGAACCAGTATTAAATGAGTTTTAAGACAACTCCCAGCCGGCTAGCCAATGCGAATTCGGCCAGTCCAAGACGGGACTTGGAGCCTGGATTAGAAATACAAGAACAACTAACAACAATTAGACCGGTAGAATAATTATGTGGGTGGGAATATTCGAACTACCGTGCGATTATTCTGAATCAAAAAAAAGGTTTGGTTTGGAAGCTGAGCCGCCATTTTGGACCCGTAAATTGGGGGTTAAAAAGGAGGAAGCGGTTTGAAAAGTTGGAAAAAATAATACAATTACAGGAAGAGCTGAAGGAAAAACTTGGAAAATTGGGAGAGGATGCCACAGGGATTTTATTGTTAGAATTTTATATTATTTTCATTAGAACTACACCTAAAATACGACTTTTCGAAAAAATTGCTTTCTGTCGAAATCCTTGTTTACCGTTTTCTTAGGGAAAATTTGAGCGTTTAAAATGTCCCCAAGATAAAAAAAAATCCAAAGGAAATGTTATAAACTCACAAATTTGCCAAAAAATCCAATTTTCTATTGGAAAACCAATTTTTCGAAAAGCCACTTTTCATCGTATAAAATGTCCTATCATCCTCTCCGTTTCTAAGCCTTATCTCAATAAAGAAAGATTGGAAATACGTTTACAACACAAGACTAAAATGAGATATATTTGGAACTCTAAAGCTGAATAAACTTATTTGGAGCCATTCGCCTGCGGCTCCACCGCCAGTCGGTTGCCATTCGTATAGGGTTTCGTCGTTCCATTCTGGGTCTTCCCGACGGTTGGCAACTCACTTGCGTTTGACTCGGCCATCCGATTGAAAGATTGCTGACTTCGCAACATGTAAGTGGTGGAGGCACTTGTTCCGAGACATTTGGCGGCCTGAAAAAAAGGATGATTATGAATTTTGAAGGCAAGAAATGTCGATTTTGGAGATAAAAGCGGCTTTAAAAGCGGTAGAAATTCAAGTTCAAACATTTTGATGATTTTTGGAAATTTGCAAAAAAGTTTTTCATTTTTGAATTTTTGCACCGTGCGACTTAAATTTTGCACTGTATTTTCGACTGCACGGTGCATGCCAAAAATCGGAAATTTTGTTCTGCACAGTGCAAGAAAAATTATTTTTGTGCACAGTGCAGTGGGAATGTTCATGTTTGTGCACAGTGAGAAAAAAATTAAAGTGAATTTCCTTGTGCAAAAATAAAAACAAAAGAGTTCGGGGTAACAAGATGTTTCGTATCGAAACGAGATGTTTTGTATCGAATTTAGGGCATCCCTGTCACGTAGTCACTAGCAAAAAAAATAAATTTTCTATTCCTAACATAAGCATCTATTTTTTGCATGACTGCGTTAAAGACCCCGTATTTTACATCTATTTTACCCTCCAGGACCATCCCTCCACAAACCTTTTCAGTGTTCCAAAACCTGTCGGGCATATCCGGGTCCTGTAAAATGTTCTGTTATACTGTACTCGAAGCTCGAATTACCACCAAAACAACACACAGAGAACGTCTCGAGAAATACAGTATAATAGATACATGAGGCGAGCCACAGGACCATACACGGGAGTCTACTGGAATAGGACCTCCGGAAAGGCTCACAAAACCCTGTGAAAAGTGTGTTCTACAGTAGCCTAGATGCTGTAAATTACAGTATCTGGGGGTTCATTGAATATGCAGGACAGTGAACAACCAAGGAATAGCGGAATGGTTAGGGCACAACATTTACATACCTCTGTCCCTACTACAATATAATTTATCCCAAAAAAGATAAGATTTAAAACACGTGATAGCTTTTTCTCCCATAAATTATTGAATATAAACACTCTTAATTATTACAACAAAGCCTGAGTACAAGTTTTGCACAAATCAAAAATTTGAAAAACAAGATTTTTTGAAAAGAAACTTGTCCTTTTTTGTCATCAATTACAATATCATGGGAAACTCGGCAAACCGACAACACTTACCACCGGGATATCGCCTTCCATCTTGACGATCTTGAAGTGCCGCACGAAGAGGACCAATGGAACGGGGGCAATAGCAAAGGCGACCATGCCAAAAGCGATGAAAAGAGCCCATTTCGGGTAGTCAACGTTGTGTTGGTGGGCCTGGAATAGCATAGAAATGAGAGTCGTAAGCTAGTTTTCGTGAAGTACAGATTGTAACACAAAATTTTTATATTGTAAAACTAGTAGTACTCGCTTTGAAATAGTAAAATCAAAGTTTCTTTTTTGGAAAAAGGGGGAAAAACATGATTTTTTGAAAAGTTTCGGCTAAAAATCCAAAAATTTCTCGCTGTAAAAGCCCATACAATCAATTTGCAATATCTGGGAAAATCGACAATTATATGGCTATTCATAAAACATCAAAATTCTATCCCAAAATAGAGAAAAAATCAATTTTTTTTGGTGAATTTCATTCACATAATGTCTGAAATTTTATGCCTCCAAAACTCACCATAACCGAATCGTACGCCGAGTATTGAGGGACATGCGCAAAACTCTTGATGACCGAGCACACAAACAAGATGATCATGATGGTGGGCGACACAAATCTCCAGGTGAAAATCCAATACTGCCCGATTGTTTCGCCGGTCATGAATTCCAAGTCCCTGCAGAAGCGTCTAAATCCATAGACGTAGATGACGGCAAAGATCTCGAAGAAGGCCACCAGCATTAACGCATAGGATCCGGCGAAATGATCGAACATTGAGACCCAGTATTGTCCAGCGCGCGTGGTGAACACCAGCCCGACAATGCAAGCGGAGGCGCACAAAATCGCGGTCATTACGGGTTTCCGGAGGTTGATGAGATGACTGTCGTTCAGCGAGGTGATAACTCCTTCCAGGGTGCCGAACATGGAGCCAAGACCGAGCATCAGCAGCATCATGAAGAACATTATGGCCCATATTGGGGGGAATGGGAATTGCAGGATGGCTTCGGTGAAAACCACGAATGCAAGACCGGTACCCTCCGCCGCTTGCGCGATGATTTGCTTGTAGTTGCAGGATTGCGTGAGATTGGCCATTTTTGGGAATTCGGACAAATGGAAATGATGCTCCATCTGGTAGATGTATTCGTCCAACGAAATGTTGCCGCGGAGCTCGTCGAGTGAGGCGAAATGGCCGGGGTAGGTTTTCATGAGAGTCATCATGTCTCTGAAAAGATTTTTGATGACTATAACGGAGTTTTACTTGCGTTTTCAGACAGAAACCAACAATGCTTGCTCGTATTTTACTTTCAAGTTTAGAAAAAATAAAGAATCTTTTGTCAATTTTTACATCAGAAAACCTCGCTATAAATTTTTCTTCACCTTTCTCCCCCAACTTACTCCTCAATGCACTTGTGATAGTTGGTATGTCCCATGTATCCCAAAACGCAGAAAATGACTAGTGCCGTGTACAAGGAGGTGACCAGATTCGCGGCTGACAATAGAAGCGTGTCCTTTTTGCAGTTGTTCTTGATCGGATTGTAGGATCCGAATGCGATCAGACCACCAAACCCAAGACCCATACTGTAGAAGATCTGAGTTGCGGCCTCAAGCCAAACTTCGGGATCGTAGAGACGGGTCAGCTGAAAAAATAGGCAAATTATGGCAGGTACAAAAATTTGAATATGCAAATTCGAATTAAAATAATTTTATTGTGAAAACCGTAAAAATAAATTTTCAGAAAACGCTGAAATTATTTTCAGAATCAAATAATGAAATTTCAATAATATGCAAATTTCAAGATTACAATTTGCATATTTCCAAATTTCAAAAATTTAATTTTTTTCTATGTAAAAGCCGAAAAATCGTCTGAAAAAGCAAATTTTGTAAAAAAATCTTAATTTCAAAATTTGAATATTCCAAAAAATTCAACTCTTTAAAATTAACTCACATCAGGAGTAAACATGTAAACCAGCCCATCCAAAGCTCCTTCCAACATAAGTGAACGGAAAAGAAAGATTGTGGTGACGACGTAGGGGAAAGTAGCCGTCAAATACATGACCTTTCCACTACTCTTGATTCCTTTCATAACACACAAGTAGATCAGTGTCCAAGCCAATACAAGACAGATGGTAATGTGCATCGTGAAGCCGCCCATGTCTCCGATGTCGCTGAAAAATGATATTTTTTTAGTTTTGGGGGTTTTAGCTTTTAAAAAAGCTCTAATTGTAAGACCATTACAAAAGATCTAGAGCGAAAAATCTTCGCAACGGTCTTTTGTGTAACGAAATCTATCAATCATTGACAATTTTATAGTCATCATGGGTCAAGTTTGGGTTAAATTGGACCAACAAATTGACAAATAAATGTTTTTGGTACCTTGAGGTTAGTTTTACAGCGATTTGACTGTAAAAATCTTGTATATGTCCTCAGAATTTTTGAATCAGCAATAAGTCGAAAAGTCACTCGAATGCCGTCGTTCAAAAAACATATTTTTCTCAATGAGAACTTGGTTTCCTAAACGCCAAAAACAGTAAATTTCAAGACAACTTACTCCGAGGTGTTGATGGCTTCTCGATTCCAGAAATAATTCGTTGGCGTCGTCGACCTGGCGCATTCCAAATAGACTGTTCCATTGTCGTGTTTGGGGCAATTCTATAACCAGAACAGTAGAAATAATTTAAGTTTTATTACAATATACATATCTAATCGTAAGAGCGTTACTCGAACTGAAATCTATTACTTACCGTCCACGGAAGTTCGAGCGAAAACGATTGAAAAAGATAGTATATACACCAGGTGAGGATGACATTGTAATAGAGACCGACCAGGTAGGAGACAACGGCCGCCGAAACTCCGACTCCGCCGAGGTATGGATGAATGGCATTCCAGACGCCAACTGGACCCGTTCGAAGACGTTGGCCAATTCCGAGCTCAATCAGGAACAAGGGCATGCCTTCCAGGACCATCATGATCACATAGGGGATTAGGAAAGCGCCTGGAATTTTGGGATATTACAGTAGTTGGGGAGGACAATAATTTTTGTGTAAGGAAAGTTGTGATACGAGGGATTGGAAAGTCAGTATTGGGACTTTCTTAAAATTTTGGGAGCTTAAAGAATCTTGGTGATAAATCAATTACTCATAAACTATAAAAGTAGATTTAATACTCGTATTTTACCCCAACCTTCCCATTCTTACCTCCTCCGTTCTTCTGACAGAGATACGGAAAACGCCAGACATTCCCCAGTCCAACTGCGTAGGAGATAACCCCCATCATGAACTGCATCTTGTTGTCCCAGCCCTCGCGATCGTCCTGATCCACGGTCTCTTCGGTGAGCTCCGCAATCTCGCGCGAACTCGAGAACCGGCCCATTTTGCTGCCGGTGTCGATGGCCACCGACTCCTCGCTGAACGCCACATGTGGCCCGAGGCAGTTGTCCGACTCGTCCGGGATATTTGTGTCGAATGTGATTTTGCGTTCGCTGGTGTTCAGGGGTTGTTCGCTGCTGCCGGCCGACGGCAGCGTTAGGTTGTCCTTGCGATTCGTCATGAAAGAACTGAAAATAAGTATTTAGTAATGGGAGTTTTGGGGTCTTTAGAGGGCATTATAAAGATGTTACGCGGAGAATTGTTTATTTTTTTAATTCCGAAGCTGATGCAATATGTATTTTGAGACCAGGTGAGTATAAAATTCTTACAAATTATAAAAATTGGGAGAAATTTTCAATGGTAAACATGGATTTGTGGAGAACATGGCAGATTCTTTAAGACGAACGACTACTTGACGTATTTTACCAAGAGGTATAGAGGAATTTCAAAGGTTTGCAAGGAAAAATGCCGGTAAAATTGAAAAAAGTGTGATTGCAATAAAATTTGTGGCACAATTGGGGTAAAAAACATCTAAAACAAAGATGAGAAATAAAAAAAGGAAGTTGGTATCCTGGGGCCCAAGAATTTAACAATTTTCAAAAAAAAGTCAGCTTTGATATTATACTACTAGACAACGATGACTAACCTACGATGATTTTCATAATTTTTTTATTATTTTTTGATCATTTATGTGCAAATCATCGGGAATGTTGCCTCAACTTGCCTATTTTACAACCCAATCATCCTTATTTTTCCAAAATTATCTCAAAAACTCCACTTTTCCTATTATTTACCCCTTCCAAATTGCCGGATGATTGCCAATTCCCTCCACATTCCATCAGAGCAGTAGTTAATTTATCACCGAAAAAGTACAACAACGACACAATTAATAGGGATCTCGGATCAAAAGCACACTCCCTCCCTCCCCCACCTGTGCTCCGAAACCTTAAACTGCCCCGAGGCGAAATGGGACGCGCCTGTTTTTCGAATGCCTGAAGATCCGATCGCCGAAGGCCCAAACGAATCATTTTGTCTAGCCACGAGGCGGAAAACAAAACGACCATAAAAAACAGGAATTTTCAACAGGTATTTCAACTGGTATCCAAGAATTTTTGTAGTTATAAGTTAACGGTTCTACTTTTTTTGTATTTATAAGTTAACGGTTCTTTTTAACACTGTGTATTGTCGTAGAGATTGGAAAAGGAGTCCCTAAAACGATTTTAAAAGCATAGAATAGGTGTAAAAGGTAAGGTAAAGCATCCAAAAATTACATTTTTAGCGGCGAATCAGGGAAAAATGGGATTTTCTAAAAGTTACGCACGATAAAACGCTAAGATCTCAGTAAAAAATCATCACAAATTTGGATTAATCCATTGTAAGTTGTATATGGCGTATTTATATTTTTTTTCAAGAACAATTTTTTTGATTTTTAGGTTGGATGACAAACGAAAAACTGATCCTTTTTTACTAATTTTGTATACGATCATTGCTGCAAAGATAGCTGAATATCACGGCTGCTTCTACACAGCGTGCGCTGAAATTTTCAGTGCTTTAAAATTGAGCCATCAGAATCATACCATCGAAGTTTAAACAAGATCTGATAGTGGACCTTCTAATAATTCACAATTTAATCCGCACTATCCAACCTTTTTTATCACTACTTTTTTCCAAACAGCTCCTCAAAAACCCCTCTGAAAACATTTGCCTATTATTGGAAAACGGCACATGTAATCTATACCACATATGACACGAGTATTGGAAATAAAAAAAAACAAAAAGGAGAAGAACTTTACTTTGGGCCGAGAACGGGCCAAAATTAAAATTTGCTCCTCTCGAAAACGGAGGAGAGTGTAATTAGTGACACTAGAAATCTCTCGAAAAAAGCAGATTTCTCTCCAAATTCGGGCGGCTAACAAAAGGATAAGGTAGATTGACCGGTCAAAAATTAATTTTTCAGTGCGGTGACCGATTTTGAGCCCTCGGGAAATTATGGTAACCGTAATTTTTATTGGATTTTTTGGAGTGGGGAAACGGAAATTATAGTGAGAACTCGTATAAAACATGCTATTTTAGGCGTATTTGCGGGTATTTTTAGGAAATAAAAACTATAATGAGACCACAACACCCAAAGATAACCGAAAAATAAAGCGAGCTTTGGCATAATAGTGGCTCTTTTCGCCCATAAATTGCGTGCAAAGTGAAAAACAGAGCTAGAATACAAATTTGGGTCAGAAATCATTGTTTATGCAGTAAAAAGATACCGATTTCTTTGCAAAAATCTGAGTCATGGCCTTTAATTTTGTAATAGTCATCGTATTTTGCCTTATTTTTCCGCGGAACGTATCTGTAAAAACCGAAAACCCCGTTTCAAAAAGAAAAACAAAAATTTCCTCTCAAATTTTGGAATCCCCTGAGGCTTCCAAACAAATTTTCCGACCAAAAAGTTCATGTCCAAGATCAAGATGGCCTCGTAAATAATAAAATTTATAAGGTCACTTTTGAAAAACTTGTCAACACTGTCCTCAAAAAGACGTTTTTACTTTTGGAGTAGGATGTAAGAAAAGCGTTACGGCACAATGAGCCTTTTGAGCGCTCAAACACAGCACAAATTTTTGCCTTTACACATCTTTAACATACCCTCAGGCATAATCTGTTGGGGATTTGAACTTTGGAGGGGGAAAATGGCATAATAAAACGCAAGTTTGTGTACAACAAAAGAGTGGAAAAGCAGACAGCGTAAACTGAAATTTTAAGGACAAAACGGTGAAATGAATTCTAAAGAATTTCAAAAATCGTTGGGAAAATGTGAAAATTGAAAAACAAAAACGAAAAAGTCTGGAAAACAGGTCATACTGCCCTTACAGAAGCAATTTCCGTGTAATAAAATATGTTGCAACGGCCTATTTTAACCATACAACAAAGTTTCGGCCGCTGAAAAAACCGTCTGCAAAAAAGTTTTCTCTAAAAAAATCGCTAAACCATCAGCCCCAAAAAGTTGCCTAAGCCCTTCCAAGACGAAGATACGAAGACCTTTGGCACATAGTAAGAAAAAGAATTAAATAGCGGCCGTTCAAGTGCTCCCACGCGATCTCCAAAAAGCGGCCCCAAAAAACCTCACGCAAATGATGTGGCATGGCCTTCGCGAAAAACTTGGCCACACTGTTTTACCCTCGCGCCCCACGTAAGCCCCACCGATAAACCCCCCGCCAGCCCCGCCAAGAACAGCGGGGGCAGGGCCGCGCAAACAGAGGACGATGGGAATTGGCCCGGCCCGCGAAAATAAAACGCGGAAAAGAAACGGGCGAAAGGACGGCAAGAAATGTGCGGGTTTCTTTGCTTTAATGGGGCCAACCACGGGGACATTAAGCCAGCCGCGGCGCCCGAACGCCGGCCCCAAAGCCGGCTTTTTTTTGCGGCGCCGGTCGGCCCATTGCGCCGTGCGGCCGACCGGGGCGCTTTTCGCACCGTGCGTACGAAACGAAACAGGCTGGCGGGCTTGGACGGGAAGACCGAGGATTTCGAAAGCGGCTAGAAGGAAAGGAGAGAGTGGAAGGTTGGACCCAATGATTTCGCTGGAACAGAAACTCATCGCATAGTGCAATGGGTACAGGACAAAAGTTTGCACTGTGCGGCCTAAACTTTCGTTCATAAAAGCTAGGTAAGGGCGATAAGAAAAAACCTTAAAAAGCGATTTGGTTTCTTACAGAGCGTTTGACATTTGCACTATAAAAAATATTCATAAATGCTTTGCATCGTGCATAAATTACGAAATTTCCAAATTGCACTGTGCAGTGAAAGAAATCCATTTTCTCTGGCATCAAGCTTCAAAATAGAGACTGCAAATTTTTTTACTGTGGCTTTTAGACATCCTTCTCTTTTATTACGCAATTTCAAACTCCGTCTCTTTTGCATCGTGCGGGCAGCCCGTCTTTTCGGCCCTTGCACGGTGCGGCCCCTCCCTTCTCTCTTCTTGCCCATCTTGCACTGTGCATAAAAAGTAAAAGACTGGGACGTTCTGGCGACTTTCGCCGTTCTCTCTGTCCGTCTAATGGCCATGCAGGTTTCTTTTCCCGTCCGTCTCTAGCTTCGGAATCCTCTTATTTTTCGGGCTTCGGTCCGTTCGAGTCGGGCCCCGAAAAAAGGGCAGAAGAGTCCGCGAAATGGGGCCAAGTCAAGGTAAAAGCGAGGGCCAGGAATGTCGAAGGGGCCAGGAATTTTTTAGCGGGCCAGAGATCTTTTTCGAAAAGACACAACTTTTTGTTTGAGCGTCCAAATTCCTTTACCTGAACCTCAACTTGACCTAAAACCTGTGATTACTGCTTGGTGTTCACAAGTTCTTTTTGAAAAAACGATGAAGATTTGTCGAGCAGAGCCTTAGACAAGACAACTAGACCGTTTTTGTTTCGGCCTACAAAAGTGCGACGCAGATAAAAATCAATTAACTATGCGGACTTTACAAAAGAAGATCGCTGAGAAAACACGAATAAAAAATAGGTACGCGCTGGGATGCAAGGATAAAAATGGTGATGATTAAAGAGCAAAAGGGACACTTTACAATGAAGTAAATAAAAACTTTCTGAAAGCGAAATGACAAATTGAAAATTTAGGCCACAGTTTAGCCAAGAAATCGGGAGAAATCTTAAAATTTCTTGAGTTTATGAAAAGGTGAGGTAAAATACGCCGTCCGGATATTTTTTGTAAATAACAATCACCGTTTAAATTTCATCATGAAAAGTTAAAAAAAACATTGCGGTTGCTGTAAAGAGCAAAAAATTTAAAAAAAAACAAAAAATTTTGAGAAAAATGGCGTTTTCCAAAAATTTGCTGATTTTTTGGGAGTAATCAATAAGTCAAACTGCGGAATAAAGCACAAGAATTAATCGAGCAAGCCTCAAAAATTCAATAAACAACAAAAATGCCTCTGTTTTTCCTCCAATTTTCCTCCGAAATGCCAAAACATCTTCCTCATCCCGTCCCTAACCTCGATGTCCCGAATCAAAGTTAAAAACAAAATTTTAAATTCTCTCCCCGTCAAAACTAAATTTCCAAGACGAAATGCCAACATACAGACAAAATCGATAAATCGTGTCCTCAAGGCAATTAGAGCCGCTTAATAATATTTATGTTTCCGGTCCGCGGCCTCAAACACCGGACAAATGGATGGGGTCTGGGGCTTCGCAA